AATGTTGAATGGTAGGTTGAGAGGAGACACATACTCCGACCCTTAAGAGCACTTAGTCTGTGAGGAAATGTGTTCTTTTCCTTTCTAATCAGTACTGTTTGTATTTCAATTTAATTATGAAGCTGCTATCCATAATACACTGGGGGTGTCACCTGAGAGAGGGTCCTCTATGTGGGTGTGGAGAGCCCTTCCTCACTGACAGGAAGTAGACACAGGAGATCTCAAAAGACAGCTCCACTCTGGAACTGAGCCTGGATTACCATGTTCTTTCTTGGCACAAAGAACCAAAGGTGGACATTCCCTTGGGAGTCACAGTCCTTGGGAGGATGAGGGCAGGAGGGAGCTCGTCAGGGTAGTGTGAGAGGTCCGAGGCCCAACCCCAGTGCCAGCACCATCTAGGTTGGTGACTGAGGACAAGGAGAGAGGTTCCTGAGTGCTGCCAACACCCAGCCAGGGACTGAGGTGCACGCTGCACTTGAAATATTTTAAGTGGATACAAAATGATTTCAGCAATGCAGACAATTAAGTACATTGTTGTCAGCAATGGTGCTATGGGCAAAACATCTCCCCATATCCTACACAACAAACAGATTTCCATCTGAGTATGTAGCACAGTTCTGACAACGATGCAGCCACAGTTGTGGTGGTGGAGAGTATATTCCCTTGGACTTCCTGACCCTGTGGGACAAGAGAACCATGACAGGTTGTAGCTGCTGAGTGAGTACCCACAAACAGATGTATTTCTAGTCAATTATAGTGCCCTCATTTGACTAATACATAAAAGAAGCCTTTCTTGCTTGTCAGGACCCAAACTGATCTCAAGGGATGGCCCCTCTGCTACTGAGAAACTTGTCAAGAGCAACCAGAACAAACGGAAGCCTGTCACTCCAGAGATTGCTGGAAGGCTGTGCACGGGTGGAGGGCTCTGCACTCACCCACAAGGCCTGAAGAGTGCTGACAACACAGCACCAGCTCCCTAAGCCTGCAGAACCGAAGAGCCACAGGTGTGAGCTGCCAGGAACATTCTTCCAGAGCCCTTTCTGCACAGCTGGGGCCAGAATCAGACTAAACGCAATGTTAAATCAAACTAAACATTACCAGTTAAAGTTCGTTTCCTGGAGTCATGAGAAAAGCCCTGCACCCACCCGTGTCTAGTCGTGCAAGTTGAGGATCACTGGTGTGCCTAACTTTGAGTAGCTATTTATTGTCAGAAAAGTGATCATCACTTGCTCATTTTGGTGTTTCCAAATGTGTTTGTTTAAATGCAAGCATACTCGTCATGACTTTCTAACCCACTAATTTGAACTCTTGAAGAAACTCCTCGGTCCCGCTCTATGTTCTAACTCAGCGCTGTCTAATAAGTATACAATGTGAGCCACAGATGCAAGTCATGTATGTAGTTTTTAGATTTCTGGTAGTTGCATTTCAAAATGTTTTTAAAAAACAGGTACAATTCACTGTAATATTATATTAGTTTAACATAGCCAAAATAGTATCATGTTTACCTGCAATCTGTATAAAAAGCTCTAATAAGGTATTTTATGTATTGTTTTGTACTGTCTTGGAAATCCAGCATGTTTTTACAATTAACAGCCATCTCAATTCAGACTCACCACCTTTTTAACCCTCCACAGCCACATCTGGTTAATGGCTACTATCTGGGACAGCATTGGTCTAGGCCAGCAGTTCTCAACCTGTGGGTCAAGACCAATGAAAATACATCCTGCATATCAGATATTTACATTACGATTCATAACAGTAGCAAAATTATAGTTACAAAGTAGCAATGAAAATAAGTTTATGGTTGGGGGCCACCACAACATGAGGAACTGTATTAAAGGGTCGCAGCATTAGGAAGGTTGAGAACCACTAGTCTAGTCTATTAAAATACTTAATGTCAAACTCTAGGTAATGCAGAGTATTAGCCATGGATTAGGTAAGTAGGTCTCATCAGAGAAAAAACAGTGTGAGAAAGCCCCACATGGTGGGACAAAGGGGAAAAGTTCTCATCATTTCTTTCCACTCCACCCCTGGCTGGTGCCTAAAATGGGGCTTTGAATTCTGTCCTCAGCCTGTGCCTGAGTTAGATGCCCACCCATGCTGGTAGTGCCCACACTAGAGGGTGTGGTTGGTGAGGAGACCCAGGCCCACCCATTGTCTACCCCAGGTCCTCATGGATATTACCCCTGCCCTCCATGCCAAGAGCTCCTCACTGTCCCCCCAGGAGTAGCCCAAACACATCAAAGAGTCTGGGATCCTGCCTGTGCTGCCCTCCTCCAGGCCAGGGCCTCTGGGATCTCTAAATACAGCCACATTTGACCACCATCTCAAGGTCATCATGGTGTCTTTATTGGAAGGACTCACAGCCTGACTTTCCCAGAAGGAACCAATTCTGGATATTGAAAGGTCCAGTCTAGAAGCAGGGCTGACCTGACCTCCCAAGGGCCACTGGACCAGGACTTAATAGTGTGGAGTCCACAACTCCATGATCAGCCATTCAACTCCAACCTGATGAGGTCCAAAGGCTTGGCCTCAGGGAGCCTGATTGCGGTCTTCTGAGCCTATCAATTTCTTCATGGCAGTTTTGTTGGAAAGGGGTGTGTCCCGTCTCTGGACATGGGCATTGAAGATGGTGTTCTTCATCACTTCCTCAATCCGAGAAGACAAGCTGATCTCACTCATCTCATCATCACTCCTGCTTCTGATGGAGCCCATAGAGGATGACGCTGAAGCCGTATCTATCTGAGAGCTGAGAAAAGCAGCAACTCTGAGGCACCTTCCTCTGTACCCAGTTCCTAAGTGATGGGGCTTTCTTCTTCCCACAGGTCCCCAGCCTGGCTTCACCAGAAGCCCAGAAGGGAACCTCACTTCCAGGTTCAGCCCTGCTCCATCTCCCAACCCCAGCCAGACGCTTCTCTTTTCTGTGTCCTTGAGTTTGGTCTACCATCCTCATCACTAGCATGTACTGAGCACAGCCTGTGCCACCAATGTATGTGGGTGTAATCCTCTCAGAAACTCTGCCGGAGGGGAAGGATGGACTACATCTGCCTTACCTCTCTGTGCCTCAGGTTCTCATTTGTAAAACGGGGATAATCACAGGACATACCTCACATTTGGTTGTTCTCAGGACAAAGAGAGTTAAGGCATATACCACCTGGTAAACAATACATGTTGGCTATTTCATTACTATGTTATTATTTCATTTTGCAAATGAAGAACTGAGTCTCAGAGGTATGAGGTAACTTCCTTGTGCACACACTAGGAAGTGGTAGCGCAGAATAGAAATCTAGGCCCTCTGGCTACAGAGCCTGTGTCCTCAAGCACTCTGCTCTCTTACTCTGCAGCATTGTACTTTCCCTGTCTACAGTGGGGCACACTCCTATTCATCCTTCAAAGCCCTACTCAATGTTTCAACTCGCCCCCCCCAAAAAATTAAAGTTCTTTTCTTGTTAGATCCTATAGGTCCTACATATCCTGCTCTCAGCAGGTTCCAAGCCAGTGTTCTGCACCCTGGGAGGGGAAGGAGGCCAGAGCATCTCTGGGGTCTCTAGGAACATATCCCCAAGGCCAGTGACCCCATCCAGATGGGCAGATGGAGGGGGTCAAGGAATGAAGAGGACCTGGCCCAAGTTGGGAGGTAGGCAGGAGAGGAGCTGGAAGAAGCTGGGCTGTCCTGGGCTGAGCAGGTAGCAGCATCCAGAAGAACTGTGGAGACTTCTGGCAAAGGAGAAGGGGTGAACAACATCTGACTTCTCTCACTGCTAAGGGCTTAAGAATCAGGCCACTTGCTGGCAGAACTGGTGCCTGGCATACTTACCTCGTTTGTAGGAAGTACTCCAGGCTATTGACCAGAGCCTGATCTTGCTGTTCAGGCAGCAGAGAGGAGAAGCCCAAGGACAGGATGGCTGAGATGCAGCAGAGAAAGATGGCCAGGAGGGAGGGGGCATGGCTGATGATTGTCAGGGATAAGATGGATCCAGCACCCCAGAACAGAATGGCCAGCCCGAGACCTGTAGTCCTGAAAATGGAGGAAGAGATCATCTGGAGGCCTCTGGGCCAAGGCTAGCTGGGGTGGGGGAAGCAGCTGTCTGAAAGCCCACAACCTCCAGTCACCACTATGTCCCATCTCACTGTATGACCATGGGGTGTTTAGTTCCTTATTAATTTGAAGTAGGTAGTTCTTTATTCTGGGCCTCCCTTGTGGGGGTCACGAAGGGGAGAGGTAAGAACCACACAGTGCTGTGTGGATGTGGGGGTGGAAAGCACAGGCAGTAACGTTAGGTGGGCAGAAGATGTTCCCCTGCCACCAACCATGGGACAAGGCTGAGCCTCAGAGGGACCCAAACACCTGGCAGTGAGTGCAGGGTGGGTACTGAGTCAGACCACTTAGCGACTAGGCCCATCTCTGACACTTACTATGGTCAAGTGCCTTTATCTCTCTGGTTTTGTTTTCCAAATATGGTTAATGATAGTGTTTGTGGGATTTTTTTTCGATTGCTGTTGTTAAATGAGATCATCAATGTGAACCCTTCAGCACTGTGCTCATCACCAGGTGAAGGCTCAATCGCAGCTGTTGCATTTGCCTTGTCATTATCTGCCCCTCCCCATTCTCCCTTGCCCAGCAGACCCCATACCTGAAGACGGTGGGGAGAAGTTCGGCATTGTAGATGAACATCACAGTGCAAGTGGCAGCCATGCTGAACTGTCCAAGCACAGTCACCAAGGTCTTTATGGATTTTATCTCTGCGGCCAGATAACACAGTCACCTGAATCTGGGGCCATCTCTCCCCTTCAAGGCATGTGAGGGAGGCCTGCCCATTAGACCCCTCTTGATCCCTCCCCAAAAGACATCTGAACAGTCCTCCCTACTACCTGGTCAACTGGGCAGGGGGTCAGCCAGGCTGGGAGTCAGAAGGTCAGTGTGCAGGGGCCCAGCCAGACTGGGAGTTAGGACATCTGCAGTGGGAGAGTTGGGCAGTGGGGATGGGGAGGCCCCAGGCCTCTGCCTACAGAGATGTGTCCTTTGTTCCACTGCTTCAAACAGTGCACCCCTACCCACCTGCTCTTCCTCAAGACTCCACCCAGGGCCAGGCACCCCTGTGTGCCATGATCCTGCTCAGGGTGATCCCACATGGGCTCTATGTGATGGTTAGGGCAGGAGGTATTTGTTCCTGGGGCCTGAACAACTGGGTTTGGTGCTAAAATTTCTGTGGAATCTTCAGTTCTACTCTCAGGAACTGCTCTCACATGGAGGCCTCTCATTCCCAGGGCTCAGAGGACTGCCTGGAGTGTTCTTCCACTAGAAACCCCCAGGCCACTTCTTTTAAGACTTTGCTTCAAGGCTTTCTCCTTAAAGCCTTAGTGATAGCCCTATCTAAAATGTCAATCTCCCCAACATTTCCTTCATCATTCTATCTCCTGGGCATGCCATATTTGGAATTTTAAATGTATTTATTTATCAAGCATAAATCATTCATTTATTCAAGAAGCAGTTATAGAGTGAGTCTATGGCTCAGGCCCTGTTCTGGGTATGGGGATGCAGCAGTAAACAAGATAAGCCAAAAACTTTGGACACTCGACTCTGGCTGCTGGATGAGTTCTCTAGGTAGGCAGTAGCACAGGTATGGTGACATAGAGCCCCTACTCATCAGACCATCTGCAGACCCTGCTCCAGCCTCACTTCCCACTCTGGACCTGGCTTCTCTTGACTCTGGGATGACATTGGAGATCAAGGTTTATCCACTGGGGAGTCTGTTCCTAGTTTCTCTCACACATGTAAGAGGTTGACATATTTCTGCTGACTCAGCACATATAGATCCGCTGTTAAAAAAAAAAAACCAAGCATTGGACATGGTGGCTCATGCCTGTGAATCTTGCATTTTGAGGGGCCAAGGCAGGAGAATTGCTTGAGGTCAGGAGGGGAGACCAGAAGAGCAAGAGTGAGATCCATCTCAACTATAAATAAAAAAAGAGGTGAGCATTGTGGCAGACACCCATAGTCCCAGCTACTCCAAAGGTTGAGGGAGGAGGATGGCTTGAGCTAAGTAGTTTGAGGTTGCAGTGAGCCAGGCTGAGGCCATGACACTCTAGGCCAGACTACACAGCAACTCTATACACCCCTAACAAACAAACAAAAGACATGCCAAGCAATATATACTTAATAATGAATTTGTTTCCCATTTTGTGTTAGCCAATCAACACTGCCCACATTTCTGGGAGGCAGGGTCCCAGTGGAGACCCACACAGTTCTAGCACCCAGAAGGGAGAAAGCCCCTCAAAAACAGACCCGCACACAGCCTCCCCTGTCCTGGCCCAGCCCCTGCAGGGCTCTAGACTCAGGAATTCTAAGTAGGTATGCACTGACACCTCCCCTTGGCTCTCCAGCTCCGTGCGCTGGGAATGGTCATTGTCTAGGGCTTGCTGAGATTTTGAAAATATTGCTTGTCCTCACTGTTTCCTTTTCTAATGGGGATCCCACAAGAGCAGGGCTCTGAGCCCTGGGAAGACCAGGCCTCCCTGTGAGAGCAGCTCTTGAGAACTGAACGGAGGATTCCACACAATTTTTAGAGGCCAGGTTATTCTGGGTGAAGTTAAAATTAGTATGAGTTCCCAGGTAAAGGGGCTGCAGAAGAGAGGGGGGCCTGGTGTAGAGGTTGAAAGAATATTTTTGCTAACATCTGCTCACATTTAACAGAGTAGATAGAGTGGATTGGAATCAGCTGGAAGACAACTGCTCATTCTCCCATGCAAGGATTATTCCTCTGAACAGCATGCCCTTCTGTATCAGGCTTCTGATAGTGTGGGGGCCTTATTTGGGGTCCTTTCTGAGAGGGGCTGTGCTCTAGGGATTGTCACCCCCTCTGGAGGGGCAGTAGCAGGATGGCAGACTATGGAAAAGGAGCCGAGTCCTAGAGTGGCTTCTTGGCTGGTCGGGTCACATGTGCTGGGCAGGGACCTGGGAAGCAGGGAGGCTGGCAGGTCCTGGGGAGGGGGGACCATACCTTCAGGGAGGAAATGGAGGATCAGGGTCATGATGGTAGCTATGAGAAAAGTCATAGCCAGGGTCCACTTTGTCCCTATCTGCTCCAGGAGAAAGACATAGAACAGTCGGGCAGACACCCCCATGATGCCAAGGAACACCTGTCTGAGGTATATGTTCACGCCAAGGTCTTTCAGTATGAAGCTGAGGCTATAGAAGCAGTAACTCATGGTAAACCTGGAAGAGTGAGAAGGAAAATAGACAGACAGATATAGATGGGATGGAGCCAGGGGTTAAGACACAGGCAGAGGAGAGAGGTTTGGGGTAGTGATGAGTAGAGGAGAGAAATCAGCACAGAAACCCATTCTGTGTGTCCCTGGGTCCTGTCCCCATGGCCTGGCCATTTCCCGCTCCCTCACATGAGTCTCTGGCTTGTACATCTTGCAAATCATCATCAGCCAGCTCTGGATACTTACCACACAATGGCCAAGATAACAGACAGCTTTAAGAGTTGCTTATTTTTGCAAAAGTCCAGCACAGATGCTTTAGTCACCCTCTTTCCATGGATGTGCAGCTATAGGAAAGACCAGACCAAACAGAGGCAGGACTGAAACCCAGCTTGCTCTCCCCCAACAGGGCCTGCAATGTCTGTGGCCCCCACAGTCCCACTTGCCCCTGGCAGTGTTCAGTTTTGCTGTCACCACGGTCCTCAGCAGTGGGCTGGGATGGCCTCTGGATGAGCAGGAAAGGGGCCTTTCCACAGCTGCTGCCCCACTCCTGGTCTGAAGCTTCTTACCTCCTTCAACAGACTGAAAGGAATGGTCTTCTTGTTCACACTGGCTGCGTAGCACAGCACCTTCCTCGCCTCCTTCAAACTTCCTGTCATCATCAGCCACCGAGGGGACTCCGGGAGCATCCTGAGAGGCCACAGTTCTCTTACCTCACCATTGCAGGATGCCCCAGAGATGCACGTTGGCCCATCCCAGTCATAGCTGTGGCCATCCTGCCCCAGCATGAGGTGACTTGAGATGCTGGAACCTTAATTAAAGGCCACCCAACCTCAAGCTGCCATCTGCTCCTCCCTGGTTATCAGCCCTGCCCCTGTATAACCCACATGCAGAACCTGATTACTGCTTGGTGATACCTGCTACCTGTGCTTTCTGCCTCCTTTACTTACTCTCAGGCTTATCTAAGAGCTTAGGAGACCTCTTCATCTGCCCAGGCAAACAGAGCGTCTGGTACCCATAGCTTATACCCTCTAGTCAAGACCCCATTCCTATAATTGGGATTTATACTGTTCCTCCAAATCCCGCAATTCCTTCCTGGAGAGTGTGACGGGGCAGGAATCCAAGTCTGACCCCCAAACTTGACCATGCTTGGCTGTAGGGAGGGATGAGTAAAGCCTTCACTCTATCCTGCCTCTCCCTTGCCACATCCCTATTGCCCCTGGCCTCAGAATAACTTTCCCTTCCAATCCTGCTAGCTTGTCAGCGTCCACACAGATTAACATGTAAAGTCCTCTGTGTCAGAAATTGGGTACGGCATACTTTAATATATAGTCTCATTTAATCCTCACCCAAACCCGGCCCCAGTATGATTGTCCTAATTGAATGCTCAGCCTCGAGAAGTAGGGGCTTGCCCAAGGTCACAGAGCCAAAGCTGGTACCTCCTCAATCCCTGGAGCTGCTACAACCTATTCACAAAGCTATGCCATCACCCCTGCTCACTTCTTGCACCCTCTCCCTAGCTGACCAGGACTCTGTGGCTGGCTGCTGTAAACATACACTCAGGACGCTGGAGACAACTTCATTCCCTCTACTGTCCTGCTACTCTTCCCTCCCTTCAGAGTCCAGCATCAGTCTTCTTTTTCTCCCCTAAGGCTGAGGAAGTCCACTAAAAACAAGCATCAAACAGAGATTCTTCAAAAAGCTGGGAGATTGGGCAGTGTCTGTGGCTCAATGGGTGGGGCACCGGCCCCATATGCCGAGGGTGCCAGGTTCAAACCTGGCCCTGGTCAAATTGCAACAAAAAATAGCCAGGTGTTGTGGCGGGTGCCTGCAGTCCCAGCGACTCGGGAGGCTGAGGCAAGAGAATCGCCTAAGCCCAGGAGTTAGAGGTTGCTGTCAGCTGTGTGACGCCACGGCACTCTGCCAAGCATGACAAAATGAGACTCTGTCTCAAAAAAAAAAAAAAAATCTGGGAGATTGACCATATGCCCACTACCACAGGCATTTTTAAAAGATAGCAATTCTCAGGAGCAAAGGAAATGGGAGAGAACTGTGACTAATTCACAGAAGCCCAAAAGTCGCTGGAGAAGCACTTCTGACCATGTCAACAGGTGCTCTGCTCTGAATGTCTGTATCCCTCCAAGTTCATATGTTGAGACATTTGTCTCTAGTGCCATAGTATTCAGAGGTGGGACCTTTAGGAGGTGATTAGGTCATGAGGGAAGAGCCTCTTAAATGGGATATGTAACTTTACATGAGAAGCCCAAGGAAGCTTGTTCATGGCCTTCCACCATGTGAGGATGCAGCAAGGAGGCACCATCCATGAAGCCTCATCAGATACCGAAATGACTGGTGCCTTGACCTTGGACTACATTCCACAACTGTGAGCAATAAACTATTTTACATCAACCACCCAACTTGAAATATTCATTAAATGGACCAAGACAAATGGTATCAAGAGTGAGGAGCTGCCATAACAAATGAAGAAGCAGTTTTGGAAGTGGGTAATGGGCAGAGGCTGGAAGAGTTTGGAGGTACATGGGGAAAGCCTGAATAGCCACTACTGGAATGTTAAGGGTGACTCTGGTGAGGGCTCAATAGAAGAGGAGCCAATAAAGAAAGCCTCAATCTTCTTAGAGATGACCAAAGAGGTCTCAAATAGAATGGTGATGGAAATGTGGACAGTGAAGGTCATTCTGATGTGATCTCAGATGGAACTGAGGAATATGATATTGGAAACTGGACAAAAAGCAAGTCTTGTGATAAAATGGCAAAGAGCTAAGCTGTATGATAATCATGACCCATTGTTTTATGGAAGAAAGAACTTGTGAGTGATGTTATAGGACATTTGGCAGAAGAAATCTCTAATCAGATTGTTGAAGGTGCTGCACGGTTTCTCTTGACTGTTTATTGTAAAACGCAAAAGGACAGACTTTATACTCTAAAGGAAAGCAGAACTTAAAGATTTGTGAAATTCTCAGCCTGGACATGTTTGTTCCATTTTCAGAATTACAACAGTGTGTTTGGGACAGAACACCAAGGATGTGGCCTAGCTACTGTTCGAAAAACAGGCTAGTGTGGGTCAGCAGAAGGCAGGTGCTATGAGGACACTAAAACAGTGACCTCAGTGGCATGGAGGAGATTGTTTGTGCTACTCCTCCCATCACTTGCCCAGATTGTCAAGGTGAGAGGACAGAACTACGTCAAAACAGAGATGTGGGGACACCCACCCGTCCCAAGTCTCCCCACATTCAGGTGTAGCTGTCCTCAGCCAACCCACACGTGATTCCAGTGCAATAACCCTGGTGCAGGCTGCAGTGGCCGTCCCTCCTGAGGTCATGGGTAATCAACCATGGCAATGTTTATGTGGTGCCAACTCTGCTTCTGCAGAGTATGAGAGCTGTGTGTATGATCCTACCTCCACCTAGATTTCCAACGATTCCCTGAAGAACCCCTGAGCTGAGGGAAAGAAGACTGCCACAGGGTCAGGGCTGCCATGGTGAGCCCCTCCTAGGGCAATGCCCAGCAGATCCATGGGAGTCAGGGCCACCCTGCACACCCCAGACCACCAGAGCCTCCAGCCTGCAGGTCCAGCCTGGGATAGCTGCATGCACTTGACTCCAATGGCTGAGAGATGCTGCTTGGGCTGCACCCAGCAAAGCCCTGGGGGCGGAGTTGCCCAGAGCCTTTGGGGGCCCAACGCCTGCTCCCATGTGTGGAGAAGGCAGGACTTTGAATCAAAGAAAATTATTCGGGAGCCTTAAGAGAGTATTTTGAGTATTTTACCCATTTGTTTTTGGATTTGGCTGGGACCTATTATATCTTTCTTCTTCCCTATTTCTCTGATTTGAAATAGGAATTTCTCTTCTATGCCTGCCCTTCCACTGTATTTTCAAAGCATATATTGGTTTGATTTCATAGACGCAAAGCTGGAGGGGAATGTGTTTCAGGGTGAATCATACTTGAGTGTCACCTATATCTGTTTCAGGTATTTTACTTTGTTTTATATATATTTTTATAATTTTTAGAGAAGGGATCTCACTCTGTCACCTAAGCTGGAGTGCAGTGGCACAATAATAGGTTACTGAAGCCTAGAACACCTGTGCTCAAGCCATCCCCCTGCCTCAGCCTCCAATGTAGTTAAAACACAGGTGCACACCTTTAAACCTGGCTAATTTTAGTATTTTTTGCAGAGATGGGGTCTCTCTCTGTTGCCCTGGCTATCTTCAACTACTGGCCCAAGTAATCCTTTTTCCTTAAGCTCCCAAAGTGCTGGGATTGCAAATTTGAGCCACTGTTCCTGGTGTCATATGATATTTAGATATTACTTTGCAGTGTATATATATTTTTTTGAGACAAAGTGTCACTTTGTCAGAGTGCCATGGCATCATAGTTCCCAGAAACCTCAAACTCTTGGGCTCAAGTGAACCTGTTGCCTCAGCCTCCCAAGTAACTGGGACTACAGGCACCCACCACAATGTCCAGTTAGTTTTTCTATTTTTGGTGAAGATGGGGGTCTCACTCTTGCTCAGGCTGGTTTCGAACTCCTGACCATAGGCAATCTTCCTGCCTCGACTTTTTAAGTGATGCTGAAACAAGTTAAGACTTTTGGGGAAATGAGGATGGAATGAATGTATTTTTCATGGAGAAAGAATATGAGATTGACAATATTATTGTATGACTGTGTCAGGACCCTCATTAAATGGGATAAGTACCCTCAGAAAAGAGACCAGAGGGAGCTTGATTGATTGTTTGTGCCATGTGAGGACACACAGAGGTGCCATCTGTGAGAAACAGGCTTTTACCAGACACCAAACCTACTGGTGCCTTGATCTTGTGACTCTCAGTCTGCACAACTGTGACCAGTAAATTTCTATTGTTTAAAAATTACCAGGATATGGCTCGGCGCCTGTGGCTCAAGTGGCTAAGGCGCCAGCCACATACACCTAAGGTGTCGGGTTCGAATCCAGCCCGGACCCGCCAAACAACAATGACAGCTGCAACCAAAAAATAGCCAGGCATTGTGGCGGGCGCCTGTGGTCCCAGCTACTTGGGAGGCTGAGGCAGGAGACTCGCTTGAGCTCAGGAGTTGGAGGTTGCTGTGAGCTGTGAAGCCATGGCACTCTACCCAGGGGGATAGCTTGAGGCTCTGTCTCAAAAAAAAAAAAACAACAACAACAAAAAAATTTACCAGGATAAAGTATAGAAGCTTGAACAGATTAAAACAGAAGACAAAGTCCATACCACATGGTATACTCTGGGAGATGTAGGTGATCTGTCTCCCTGGTCCTGAGGACCCTGGACATCCCAGTTCTCAAGGATGGGACTGCTCTGGCTGCTTCTGTAGTTTGCACATGGAGCATTGGGAAGGCTGGGGAAGTAGAAACAATAGCATGGGAAAGAGCTGAGCATAAACACAGAGAAACTGAGTGGACATCCCCTTAATGATGACAAGAGTTGTAGCCCCAGCCTCACCAGGGACACAATAGCCAGAGCCAGGGAAGGACCTGGCTTTAGGATCCCTGAGAAGAAAAGCATCCCATAGCAGTGTTCTCAAAGTGTGGTCAGCAGACCAGCAGTGTCAGCATCAGCTGTGAAGTAGTTAGAAGCACAGCTCCTCAGGCCCCATCCCAGGCTTCTGACTCAGCCATGCTGGGGTAAAGCCCTACCGTCCCCTTTGGCCACTACCCTGAAGTGGAGTGCATTTCTTAATAAGCTCCCAATGTGATCCAGATGCTCCTATAAATTTGAGATCCAATGCTCTAAAAATTGCCATTCAGCCACTCAGCTTCCTCTCACATAGAGTTTCCCATTAGCTTCTTAGAGACCCTTTTTATTTATTTATTTTTTTTTGAGACAGAGTCTGACTTTATCACCCTCGGTAGAGTGCCATGGCGTCACACAGCTCACAGCAACCTCCAACCTCTGGGCTTAAGCGATTCTCTTGCCTCAGCCTCCTGAGTAGCTGGGACTACAGGTGCCCGCCACAATGCCTGGTTATTTTTTGTTGCAGTTTGGCCAGGGCCAGGTTTAAAGCTGGAACCCTTGGTATACAGGGCCAGGACCCTACCCACTGAGCCACAGGCACTGCCTGAGACCCTCTCTTAAATATTAAGGGATGACCAAAGATAACAAATATGGGAAAAAACCTCCCAAATTAAAAAGGGTCCAAAATAACCAAACAGAAAACGTAATGTAGGTGGACAAAGATAATATGGGGAACAGTAGGGGAAAAGAAATCTCGACACTAACTTGTATCCTAAGAAAATCTGAGCATGTTTTGTAATTTTATATTCATAAAACAAGATGTAGGTGATGTTTAAAAATAAATAAAATCAGAGAATAAGGAATAGCAGTGTGATATAATGTAAACTCCGACGTTTCTGTCCTGGAATTTTAGCTCAAGTCCAAAGCTAGTATTAATAATAATGCAAGATAACATCACATGCTAAAGAGAGGTGTTATCAACATTCAGGGCAAGATTCGCCAAAAAAAAAAAAAAAAAAAAAAAAGTCAACACAGCCAGGTAACCATGGCCCACAGCCACACACAGGGCTCCAGTCTCCTTCACGGAAGTGAACGAGTCTTGGATCTTCTTTCCATCCCATTTCCCATGCAGCTCCATTTTGCCCAAGCCAGGAGAAAGGAAGTTCAAGAGATGTGCTAAAATAGATGAGGATAGTTGCCTTTGGAAAAAGACATCTGCCCTCCTGCTTCAGGCTGGAATCTGCTGGCTCAGAAATGTAGGGGCTTGGGCAGTGCCTGTTGTTCAGTGGGTAGGGCGCTGGCCCCATATATCGAGGTGGCGGCTTCAAACCCAGCCCCAGCCAGCTAAAACAGCAGTGGCAACTGCAACAAAAAATAACTGGGCGTTGTGGTGGGCAGATGTAGTCCCAGCTACTTGGGAGGCTGAGGCAAGAGAATTGCTTACGCCCAGGAGTTGGAGGTTGCGGTGAGCTGTGACACCATAGCACTCTACCAAGAGATACAGAGTGAGATGAGACTTTGTCTCAAAAAAAAAAAAAAAAGAAAGAAAGAAAGAAAAGAAAAGAAAAGAAAAAATAAATGTAGAGGCTTACCCTAGTACTCCAAACAGTAATAGAATTTGTGGGAGACATAATAATTATCTCCTGAAGTTTGAGGGCCCACACAAACCAGACAATAATGCCTTTCTCTCATCTGGATATAATAAAGGCAAGAGGTTGGTGAGAGCAACGTACCATGGCAGAATAGGGCTGGGACAGTGAGGTCTCTTGGCCAAGTGGACCCTGCTGTCTTATAGATACCCCATGTGCAGGCTGAGGAGACACCTATAAGAAGAGGCTGTGTGGTAAGTTGCAGGGACAGGAGCCGAGGGGCCTCACAAAGAGAGTGCTGGGACCATTAGGAAACTCCAGCACACAAAGATGCACAGAGATCCTCCTGAGAGTGGTGGCACTGATCAAGGACCCTATGGAGGTCACTGACAGATTGACAGTAACAGCCCAGTCATATAAGTCATTGGCTTCTGTTCTCTGATGTCTCCTTCTCCTGCCAAGAACATGGAAGTTCAGAGCTGGGAGACAGGAAGAAGAATGATAAGTCAGAACAGACATTGTCCTGTTTGGCCACTACCCTGAAGTGGAGTGCAGTTTTCAATGCCTGAAAGTGAGTCTTAATTATCAAAATGAGGCTTATTCTTTTTTCTTTTTTTCTAATGAGGCTTATTCTTACAACCAAGAGTAGCTTAAAAAGTTGGAAACTGCCAAGGTATCATCAAGTGTCAGAGAAGGGACCACTGACAGGACATGGCCGAATGCAGGGAAGAAAAATGTACCCCAGTGAGTTCCCCCACTTAATACACTGTCTACTCATAACATGGAGGATTATGAAGACATCAACCCAAAGAAAGAACCGAGGAAGTTCAGTGTGATAACTTTTAGGAAAGGAACTCGGGACTGGGGAGAGCAGAAATTTATCTTGTTTTTCATCACAAACCTCTTGATACTATTTAGTTTTTAATCATATGCATCTATTCCATTAAGAACATTTTTCAAATGTTTTAAGTTCAATCCGGAAACCCCTGTTGCCTAGTTTGATGACAAATTGCACGCCACTGGCAACAGCTAGGGTATCTTAGGGACTGCCAAAGCTATTTATAGAACCTGGGAAGTCTCCAGCCAGCTACATCCCTTTACGGTAAACTGGTAACCCCATCTGTTATCATCCTTACTATGTATAGAGCACTGGCTGAAATGCAGGGGGTTTACAGCCAGGCAGGTGAGTTCAAATCCCAGGTCCCTCACTTCTTAGCTGTGTGACCATGGGCAAGCTATTTCCTCCTTGGAAGCCTCAGTTCTCCTACCTCCTCACCTACTATGGCATGGGAGTAACACCTGTCATGAAGATTAAATATGATGATATCAAGATTAAAAATAACTGCTTCATGCATAAATGTCTAACCCTTCACTCATAAGTTCTTTGAGGTTTCTTCCTCTCCCCTCCCTCCCTGCCTTCCCTTCTGTCCATCCCCTTTGCCTACCCTGCCCTTGGTCAGCCATGCCTTCTCTGCTTCTCAACTCCTCCTTCTCACAGCTCCAAGTTTTCCTCCATCAGTTGCCCTCTCCTAGCTTCAATCCCTCACATTCCTGTCAGGGACTCCCTTACAGTTACACAAATCAGCTGTCCATTCCTGCCTCTGTCGTAACTGACTGCATAAGTCATCACTTTCTCCCTCTTTGCCCACAAGAGTCCCCTCCAGGGTCCTCTACTTCAGTTCCTAGACTCCTCAACACCCTGCCATGGCAGTGAAGTCACCCCAAGCAGGTCACTGAAGCCAGCAGATCCTTCCCCAGCCTCACCTCTGTTGCCTTCAAGCCTGACCCTCCCCTTTTCCTTGAACCCCTGCCTTTCAACACTCTTCCTTCTGGCTTTCTGACCACCTATCTGATGTCCATTTAACTGTCTCCTCTGGGGGTGCTAATGCCAGAGATGCAGAGGCTCTGCCCTTGGGTTCTTCTCCCAGGGAAATCCTACCCACTCCCACAGCTTCAGGGCCCCTCCACTCCCTCCATATGTAGCCCATCAGACCCAGCCCTGTGTCTGCCCTGTGCTTGCTTGCTCACCAGATATAGAAGATGAGGGGGAACACAAGTGCCCCTCCCAGCAGAAACAGCAGCCGCCAATGGTAAAAAGTGTAGGCAAGCCCTGCCAGGAATATTATCCCCACACAGAAAGAACAGTGTCCCAGGATGATGGCATGGGCCCGGTGCTCACCCAGTAGCCACTCAGTAACTGTGCAGAGGCCAAGAGAATAAAACCATGGTTAGGTCAAGGTCTCCAGGGTTTTCCTATATCCAGTCTTTTGAGATGCTCACCATAATCTGTACACTTTAGACAGTTCAGTGTTTGTAATCTGCACATGGTCCAGAGATAGCTGTCCCAAACCAGGAAAAGTGCCTGTGCGCCCCCAGGGCACACCCTGGGCTGCTTGCCTGATCTCCTGATCTCATACATAGCTTCCCATTCATTCTCACCTTGGCTGCTCCCTCTCAACCCTTACTGTCTGACCACATCCCTCTCATAGAAATGACCTGATGCTAGGCACAATTCCCCACTTGTGGCCTGACACAGGGCAAGGCAAGCAATCACTGTCCTCACCTTTGCTCTGAATGTATTATTGCTCTGGCCATTGAGGCCTAAGACTCTGTGTAGGACTTCCCATGGAGAAGGGGTCACCTGCCAGGGAACTTGGACACCCCAGGCATTTGCAGTTATACAGCTACACTCAGGGCTTCATCATCACATAGGACTGGGATAAAATCCCAGCTTCTTCACTGAAGTACTGTTTAACCCTGAGCAAGTTGGCTAAAGTGTCCTCCTCAGGTATAGGGTTTCCTACTGAATAGAGTATTGTCAGGATGAAATGAAATAATGCATATAAAGGGTTCACCAGCTGCCTGGCTCTTCTTCAGGGCTCAATAAATGCAAGCCCTGGGGGTGAGAATATGCAAGAAGTATGGGGACGTGTGGCCTATGAGGGATTTAGCATGGAGGATGAGCATAGAAGGGCTATCTGAGCATGGATGATCTGGTATCTTTATGCAGCTAAAAGTGGAAATTCCTTCCACTTCTACCTTCCCAGTTAGGTCCTGACTATGTGTCCTGTGGGTTTCTAGCATGTATAGGCCCACCCTCAACCACCCCATTTCTATGCCCCACCCAGCCTAGGCAGACCCCGCTCCACGCTCCACATTGCTCTGCCCCTTACGGGCAGACCATGACCTTCCCCAGGGACTAGGCCCCATGTTGCCCTGCCCACTGCAGGCGATCCTGCCTAGTCCAGGCAGACCCCTTCCTATCCAGCCAGGCAGACCCCATCCCCAGTGCGGCCCAGCCCAGCCCCCACATGCCAGTCTCACCTAAAGACACACTGGTGATGGTATAGCCCACCACTGCCTGAGACACGCAGAAGCGAAAGAACAAATATTGTCGAAAACTGTTCACAAAGGCTGTCCCAAAGCCGAAGATGATCAGGCCCAGCAGCGACAGCAGGATGGTAGGGTAGCGGCCCATCCTATAGGAGTGAATGGATGCATGCACCAAGCACCGGGATCTCCTTGGCTGGCCCCAGTCGGACTCCTGGGCCACCCTCTGAACCTTCCATGGAAACCCACAAAACCTCTATCCCTGCCTCCTTCAGTTTGAGACTTCAACTCCGAAACTCACAAGGAGGAGGGGTGTCCTGGTCAATTCTGGGGACTCACTTGTCGCTTAAGATCCCAAAGGTGATAGAGCCCATCAGGATCCCTGCTATGTACGTGCTCTGCACCACTTTCTTGTTGTGCTCCATGTCACACATCAGGTCAAACTGTGGGTCAGACAGAGAGATGGCCCCAGGCTTCTACCAGGGGAGCCTTTGGGTGCAAAGACTGAGCCTCACCCAGGGATGAGCCCTATAGGCAGGGGGTCCTGAGGTAGAAATAGCATGTCTCAGATCTGCCTCAGCTCTGTTACCTCTGCATCCTTCCCTACACTGGCACAGTGATTTTCAACTGGTGTGTCATGGGACGCTAGTATCCAGTGCCAACATCTTAGCGGTGCTGCCAAAATTTTTTAAGATGATTAATTAAATTCTTGTTAAAGAAGTTCAAGGCACAGCAAACATATTCTTTTTGTTGCTCTTTTTTTTTCTTTCTTTTATCAATATAATTTAAGTGTGCCATAGAAATTTAACTACACGTTCAAGTATGCCATGAGATCAAAAAAGGTTGTAAAACAGTGCACTGGCAGTTAAGTCTGGAGAGAAAGACCACAGGCACAGGATAAGAGGGAGGTGGGCAATAGGTGGGAGGTAACTGAGCAAAGGCAGGAGTCACTGCAGACTATTCATAGAGACAGAGGCTGGGCCCCAACCTACAGATTCACATCAGGCAGCTCTGTGCTGCAAATGGCTCAGGTGGAAGCTCAGGTTAAGAAGCCCTGGGAAAGATACCTGAGTAAAGCTGCTTCTTTCCCCAGTCCCTATCTTCAGTGATTTCCAAGTGCAGAGCCACACTATAGAAGCAATTCCCTGGGCAGATGGCAAAGCCCACCATCCATCACCTGTCTCACTCCAAATGCACTCTATAATGCACAGCCAGGGCCAGGGCCAGACAACCAGTTATCCTAATTTTCTGCCCAGGCCCTGCTTCCACAGGTTGACCTCAGGCTAATGGCTTTCCCTCCCTGAGCCTGAGTTTTCCCACCTGTTTGGTGAGGGTGGGGGCACATTTCTGGGCCTGTGGGGTAACCATGGACAACCCAGCACAAGGCACACCTCATTGTTCGGTGATTGTAATGGGGTGTTGGGATAGATCCACCCATCTTGGCATTTATCTGTGTAGTTGAGGCCAAACTGGATAATAGAAGGTAGATCCCAGGACACAGGTAAGTACATGTGGCAATTCAGAAAACTGTCACTAGAATCTCGGGGCAGTGTCAGATTCAGCTGCTCAGACTTTGTCAGGTTGGAGCCCAGTGCCGGGAACCAGCTGCTATTGCAATAGGGCTTGTGGCCTACAAACACAAAGTGGTCAGCAAACATGAAGAAGCCTGCCATGATGTTGGGGATGAAAGTGAGCGCCACCAGCCTCCGCTGGAAAGTGCCAAACTCCCCCACTGCATCCAGGACATCAGAAAGCTTGTCATCCTGCTTGTGCTTGGCATAAATAGCACTCAATTTGAATAACAGCTCTTCCAGAGACTGGGAATGGAAATTCCTTGACACCTCAAACTGGCTCAAATTCCAGGAAGTGTCTTGGGATCTTCTCTCCACGTTGGGGTTGTTTTCTCCTGCCATCTGTTCAAATAAAAAATTCAGCTCAGTCTCTACTGACACCTCTGCTGGACTGGACATCAGAGAGCAGCATGGGAGCCATTCACCAGAAATCGACCTCTGGTTTCAAACCTTAATGTTATCAGTCCTTCCCTCTTTTGCTTCTGAAGTCTCTGTTAATATAATCAGTTTAGCCCAACCATCCCTGACTTTTAGTGAAAGCTTAGATTAATGCTCTAGAAAGTGTTGTTCTTCTGTTGTTATGAATGACTAAGTTCTGAGGACCCCTCTTGCAATTGTACCACAACCTAAACTTTCTTTACACATTCACCAAGGCACCAATGAGCTCATAAAAGTCAAAAGAGTCTCTTTCCCAACACAAACAAAGACCTGCATCAGGGGTCCGGCAGCTGAGGCCCGTGTGGGAGGCTGAAAGCCTTGGCCACAGCAGGGATGGGGGCACCATAATAGTTGGGTGACAGACGGCAGCATGGAGCCAAACTGCACAGGCAGGTAAGGGGGAAAGGAAGGTAAGCAGTACTGACCACAAGGAGATTGTTACTTTGGAACTGCAACAAGAACTTTTAAACTAAGCTTAAAACTGCTTTGAGCCAAAATCCGCAGACCTAAAAGCTCCTGCACAGGGCACACTTTGGCTCTGAGCAAAAGCAGAAACAAGCTTCCTCTGAAGGAATATTTCTCTAAGATGAGGCTACAGGACTCTGACAGATAAATGTCAACTGGAGAAATTATGGCTTGAAAAGGCAAACCACTCTGACAGTGAATAGAACCCAGAGACAACAAACTTGGGCTACATGTGTTAGGACTGTCAGATACAGAATGTAGAACAGCTATATATCAACTTTCTAAAGAAATAAAATATATACCTACAATATGAATTTAGGATTAGAAGAAAGAAGACAACTTTGGAAGGAAGATAGTAAAATTCTAAAAATCAAATGTGATTAAGTGGGAAGTTGTTGATATTAAAAGGTTAATTAGATTTGACACAAAGAATTAGTACATTGGAATATACAACTGAAGTGTGAAGAAGAGGTAGAGAGACTTGGTAGATAGAAGATAAAACATATATCCAGTTGGAAGCTCAGGAGGAAAAATGTATAAGAATTATTTGAAAAAATTAAAATAGGCTGTGAGCAGTGGATCACACTTGTAATCCTAGCACTTGAGAAGGCTAGGCAGGTGGATTTCTTGAGCTCAAGATTTCAAGACCAGCGTGAGTAAGAGTGAAACTCCTCTATACTAAAAAAGGCAGAAAACAAAATAGCCAGGCATCAACTGGGTGCCATGGTCCCAGCTCTTTGGGAGGCTGAGTCAAAAGGTCACTTAAGTGGAGGAGTTTGAAGTTGCTGTGAGGTATGACAGTATGGCTCTCTACCCATAGCAGTAGAGTAGATTCTGACTTAAAAAAAAAAAATTATATATACATAAACAATAAGTTTTTCTATTTGAAAAATATGTATTCTTAGACTTAGGAAAGAACAAGTGATATCAAGCAAGATGTAAATTAAAAAGAAACCCATGGCTAGACACATTGTGATGAAGCTGCAGGACAGCAGTGACAAACAAATGATCTTGAAGGTCAGCTGGAGGGAAGACAGATCACTGAAAAATGAACAGCTTCAGTTGTCTGCTATTAAGCAGAAGCTGTTAAGCAACAAGGAGCTCAGAGAGTACAATGACTCTATAACGTGGATAGAAATTACAGGCAACCTAGAATTGTTTACCTAGCAAAATTATTTTTGAAGAACTCTCTTTGTATATGTACAGTTCTTTCTCAGAAAGTTCTCAGAGGGAAAGAGAGAGCACATGCGTGCAGAGGCAGGGTCTTTCCCTGTTGGCCAGGCTGCAGTGCAGTGGCATGATCTTTGTGCACTGCAGCCTCCAGTCATGGGCTCAATCGATTTTCCCACTTCAGCCTTCCAAGTAGCTAGGAATACAGGTGCATGCCAACACCCCCAACTAATTTTTTTTTTTTTAATGGAGGAAACACAGTCTCACTCTGATGCCCATGCTGTCCTTGAACTCCTGCCATCAAGAGATTTTCTCACCTTGACCTCCCAAAATGCTGAGATTATAGGCGTGAGCCACCACAGCTGGCCATTATTCCAGTAAGTGGCATATTTTGCCTTTTCCAGACTGCCACACAGCTGTAATCACACAGTATTTAGCCTTTTCGGTTAGCAATTACACAGTATCTAGACTTTTCATATCTAGCAATAAGCATTCAAGTGTCTTCCATGACTTTCAGTGGCTTAATAGCACTTTTCGTCACTGAAAATTACTCCATTCTATCCATGTATCAGAGTTTGTTGATCCCATCGCTACTGAGGAACATTTTGGTTGCTTCCAGTGTTTGGCAATTTGGATAAGGGTAAAGCTGCCATAAACATTTGCATGCAGGTTTCTGTGTATACGTAAGTTTTCTAAGCAGTTGGGTAATTATCTAGAAACATGAATTCTAGACCATATGGTGAGAGTCAACAGTATGTTTATTTTTGTAAGAAATTGCCAAATGGTACCATCTTGCATTCCTGTCAGGAATGAATGAGAATTCCTGTTGTTCTGCATCCCAGTCAGCAAGAGGTATTTTTGATTTACTAGATTTCCACCATTTTAAGAGATGTGTAGTGGTACCTCATTGTTGTGAATTGAAATCCCTAATGACAAATAACATTGGGCATGTTTCCATATGCTTATTTGCCATCTGTAATCTTTGGTGAATTGTTCCTTTAGATCTTTTGGCCATTTTTTAGTTGGATTGACTTCATATTGTTGAATTTTGAGTTTTTTGTATATTTTAGGCACAAGTCTTTTATCAAATATGTGTTTTGGAAATATTTCCCCCATTATGATTTGCTTTTTCATTCTCTCTCAAAGTGTCATTTTTGGAGCAGAATCTTTTCCTTTTCATATAGTAACACTTGTCAATTTTTTCTTTCCTACATTTTGAATGGTATCAGATCAAAAGTCTCATTGACAAACCTAGGTTTTCTCCTAGGTTTCTTCCTGACATTTTAAAGTGTTTTGTTTTACCTTTAGTTCTGTGACTCATTATGAGTTATTTTTTGTATAATGTATAAGATCTGTGTGCCTAGATTAATTTTTTTGCATATGGACATTCAATTATTCCAGTGCCATTTGTTGAAAAGCCTACTTTTTTCTCCCTTGAATTGCCATTGCTTTTTTGTCAAAGCTGAGTTAAATAGATTTGTGTAGGTCTATTCTGGGCTCTCTATTCTGTTTCATGAATCTATCTATGTTTATTCTTTTGCCAATACCATCCTGTCATCATTGCAGTACCTTTAGAGTAAGTCTTGAAATCATGTACTATGAGTCCTCTAACTTTGTAATTCTTCACTATTATACTGGCTATCCTACTCTTTGCCTTACCATACAAAGTTTATGATCAGTTGTGAATATTTACAAAAGAGATTTTGATTATAATGTATTAAATCTGTAGACCAAGTGGGCAAGAATTTCCATCTATGGACAATTTTGAGTCTTTTAATGAATGATCATGGAATGAAGATCTGGTAGATAAATAATCCCCATATGTTAGGTTAAAAAATTTCCTGAATACTATACAAGTCAAGGTGGAAATTGTAGTGGAAATTTTAAAATATTTATAAATAAGTGATAGAATTATAATATATCAAAAATTATCAGTGGCATAAAAAGTAGTACTTTATGGAAAATTTATAGCTCTACTATGTTTTAATAAAAAATTAGAAGTATCAAAAATTGATCAACTAAAATTCATTGTAAGAATAGGAAAAGAAGAACAAAATTATAAATCCAGAGATAGTAAAGGAAGGAAATAATAAAGTTAAGACAAATATAAAGGAAATGGAAAACAAATGTTTGGGAATTAACAATCTCCAAATTAGCTCTTCAAAAAGATTAATAAGATAAACAAACCTTTAGTGAAATTATGTAAGGAAATTTTAAAAATATACAAATAAGTCTCATATATGCAAAAAGAAATGTACAGATACAGCAAGTTTAAAAATATTGACTGAATACCAATATCAACATATCAACTTTATGCCAATGAATTTGAAAACTTATGTGAATTAAATTCCTAAAAGAAAATTAATCAAAACAGACTTAAGAAGAACTAGAAAGCCTTTCAGTTTCTATAACGACTAAAGAAATTAAAGGAGAAGTGAAAAAAATCTTCCCTCAAAGAAAACACTGGCTTGCCAAACTTTCATGGAACAATTTTTTTCAGAGGATAGGAAGAGACATGAGGTCCGGTAAACTTACTTATGTATGCTTACATTGGCAGCAATATACAAATAGCTCAGTAAGGTTTCATAATCTTGTTATATTAGTGTCTCACAACTCTGTTCGTGTTGAGCTGTGGCAGTGTTTTGCTAAGTGGCATTCATTATTGTTGTCGAGAATTTTTGTGTGCTGTCCCAAGAATACCAAAGCTTGAATTATAGCAACGAACAAACATTAAATTTCCTGTTAAACTTGGCAAGAGTGGAAGTGAAATCAGGGACCTGTTAGTCTGATAATGTGGATAATTTCATGAAGAAAACAGAAGTATATAAATGGATTAAATGTTTTTTCAGAGGGGAGAGAAAGCATCACTGATAAAGAGTGGTCAGGGTGGCCAATAATGAGCAGAAAAGATGAAAACATTGCAAAAATTTTGTCAAATTGTGCATAAAAATCTCCAGCTGGCAGTGAGAAGCACAGCAGATCAAGTAAACCTCAAAAGGAGAAAACCTCAAAAGGAGAAAACCTCAAGGAGAAAAAGGAAAATCTTAACTGAACATACTGGCATGAGAAAGGTGTATGCAAAAATAAGCTCCAAGGAGCTCACACTGCCCTGTGAGGGAATTTGTAGCCAGTAAGCAAATAACTGTATTGGAACACTCTCCCTACTCACCTGATCTGGTCCCCAGTAACCTTTGCCTTGACCCAAAGTTAAAGGAAATATTGAAAGGAAGACATTTTGATGACATTCAGGACATCAAGGTTAATATGAT